GAATATTAAGTATGATTTGAATTTGCCTATACCGATTGCTTGATTCTTCGAAGACGCGAAATCGATCCTCTACCATTACCTATGACAACCCACCCTGGATAATAACGCAAAATTTTCTATCCCAATAACAATAGCAGTGACAGCAGCAAGCTAGTTGCATTGGCGTCATGACATACAGTTATGTATCAGGAGAATCATATTCACGTTAATATTGACTACAGTCAACTGCCTCCTCTTTAATTCGGATTTTCGATAATCCGGACGCTTGATGCCGGACTGTTTTTTTCTTATCAAATTCCTTCCTTTTGTTTGTCCATAATTATGAAATCTCGATAATTCGGTTCGGACAACTGTAAGTGATCAACTGCATAAACTGCCGTATTCTTCCGAAAATAAGCAACACTTTGGAAAAATTGATTATTTTATTATTGATTATTTTATTATTGATTATTTTATTATTACAATAAAAAAAATTATAAAATTGTCGGAAAAGATTAATCCGTGATATCAGTCTCACCAATGATGTCACTGGTATTATCGTCATCACGATTATCATCATCATGAACTTGCACTTACCCAATACCATAATCAATGTCAAAGTGTCTTGCTGCTTGGTTATTTCCATTGTTTTTTGCGTAGGTAATAGCCTCCTTTTTATGTTCAATTGAGTACAAATGTCGTGTTCGTTTTACAATTTGGGTCTTACGTTTAACAGTTTTAACAACTCTTCTCTGTTTTGTTATTTGTATAGAAGAAAGAATAGGTTTAAAACCTGTTTCGCGTATTAATATACATATTCTATATTTATAACTACATAATCTATAATTAAGATGAACGTGGCCATGACAGTTTTGTATATATTTGTCCTCTGATCTTGCTTGCTTGGTTTCCCACATGCCATAATTGAGCGAAATCCCAAATGTTCTCTTTCTTTCAACAAATCCTGCCAGAATAATTGATTTTTGATCAATGTCGTGTTGTCAAAATGGTTAAAATTATTTTCCTCATGATCAGGGCGCGGAACAAATAATAAGCCACGAATAGGTTCACGTCAGTACATTATGTAATATTTTTCTCGTCCCCATACCACAAGATCGTCAAGAATGTAGAAATTGCAAACAATATTGCATCCGTCTCGAGTTTTTGAAGTACCTTTACAGATGATGTTTGAATGATCACAGTCTAAAGAATGAATTATCTATATTAGTTAACGAATCTATATATCTGCAGGAAACGCCGTAGGGTACTGATATTTCAAATAGATCGAGTCTGCAAAGAGAAACTTACCACATCTATGATCACTACAGCCCTTTCCATATTTGCATAATGTAAATGCCGAATTTTTAACAGTTTCACTGTATTCTACTTCAAATGGTGCAATTTTATAATTTGGGGAAAAAAGATTATATAGAAGGGGAATTACATCGTTTTATTGTGTTCCTAATAGATGAAAGGCTGTTTCATCAGAGAACAAGGACATTTCCCAATTGTCATATGGGTGTTTCCTGGCCCATTCAACCCATTTTGCCTTGTGATCAGCTGTGAGCATTGGAAGGTCACTTTTATAGCCAAGTTCCTTTAATCTCCTTCCCACAGTCATATGTGATATAGGCTCTCCATTCTTGGACAATTGGTGGCCAGAGTACACAAAGTTGAAGAACCATCTTTCCTCAGGGAGTGCATGCACTCCTTGCTTCCACTGGACTTTCCCCCCTGATTATTGTAATGTGCCTAGCTTGGAGAATAGTTATGTGCAGCTGATAGGTTGTTATCTAATAATGATTAGGGTATCAATGGTAATTAGTATTAGTATAGTGTGAAGATTAGATATAATAATAAGTGTCATTAAGAAATGGAGAAAACTTACTTTGAGTATATTATCAGTATTTGCAATGATACTTCCTTCCAGTTCAATGACATTGTCTTTTTGGAAATGATCAATTGACATGAAATCGTTGTTGTGTAGAGGTATGTGATATCAAAAAACTTTCCTCTTCTTTCAATTGTAAAATGAAAAAGGCTTGGAATTGGTATGCTTCAATAGTATATTGGCTTCCGTATTATCAGAGTTTATGAATGTTGCCTCTGCAGCATAATAATCATACTGTCCTTGGACAGTTGCATGAACATTCTTAATTATGGTGGCAGTACTGAGGAAGTGGAGAAACATATCAAAGGGAGGGGGTTATACTGATTATGTGTATATTAGTATGTGTAGTGTGTCTGAGGTGTTTGCATGTGAGATGTAAGAGATATGTGTATGGTGTGTGCATACTAACAGAATATGTAGAGTTTATATAAGTTGAGGAAGAGAGCACTGCATGTGAAGCACTTGTGTGAATGGGAATTTGAAATCTCACCTTCTCATTTCACATCTTTTAGTCTTTTGTCTTCTCATCTCCATGTCTCTATGTCCTTGTGTCTATGTGTCTCTGTGTCTCTGCATCTTCTTATCTTTTCATATCAATCATTTTTGCATTTTCTTGTCTCTTTTTCTCAGTCTTCATCTTCATCTCTTTTTTGTGAGATCATCAATAAGAATTTGCCTCATATGGAAATTCACATGAACATAACAGATGATTTACATGTTTTGTTTACCATATTAATATTAATATACCAGTGCAGTGGCTTATCAAACAGACATTGGAGTAGCCTGCTCGTGGTCGGTTCCCTTTGACATACAGTCTCGTGCTTGAGGTCAACGCCCTCATACCCATCGCCAAGTTCGTCGCCGAAGAGAATTGTGCCTCCCATCCCTCCTGAGCGCCGCCGCTCTTTCCACGCGCAATAAGTTGGAGACAGGAAGACGATGAACCAAGAAAACAAGCACAAGTTAGTCAACGCCCCGCCGAGGATACAAAACATTCCGCTTTTGCTATGTTCTGCTCTATGCTCGTTACCTGGTTGAGTGTCTGTTGGCGAAGCGGCCGCTGACAGTTTGTCCCAATGGGTCAGAAGCAGGCAAAACAACAAAATACAAGGGTATGCAAGAAGGAGCACAAAAGCACACGAGTTAGTTAATGGTGCATGAAAGCCACGCGTCGGGAGAACCAGTAACAGTATTCAAACTCTTCTCCCCGTTGCTCCTTTATCCTCCCAATAAATGTGTGTTGCTTGCTTGCTTACCAAGAGTTTTACGGTATTCCTCATAGCAGTCTGTATTTTCTCCGGCGTGGTCGTTATGGTATTTATAAAAAAACTTTTTATATCCTTCAGTGGGTCTGCGTTCATAGCATCCATGTCAATGTTTTTCGTGTGGTGATAATGGTAATAAAAGAAGAGTCGCGCCCAACTCAACCCTGTTTATACTTACACAAACATGTGATACTCCGTATTGAAGCGCCGAATCAACTATTACTATAGTTGCGGGTCCAGCACACTTGACAAAATAGACCGGGAACCCTCCATGCCTTTGTCAGAAATGAAGACAAAGGGGAAAATCTCTTTTATACGCTTCTTTGCATATCACATTATGGAAGAGAAATGAACTCGAGTTCCTCATTAACTAATGTTTTTGATGCTAAGTCAAACACATCGGTAAATTTATTTTGACATGAGCGATATACGGCAGTCAATTATTAATTATGAGTTAAAATTTACAATGTAAAAGTCGGTTAGGATAATGTGGGCGGAGACGAAGAGGGAAAAATATGCCTGCCGGATCCTAGACGGGTCCGTATTATTTCATTTCACCGACAATTAACTACCAAAAAAGGATAACTTCGAAATAATGTTGGTGAATATTTGGAGGTGAAATGATTGTAACACTATTTAATAAATAACAAGTATTTGTATTCACCGTCTACCACCTATAAATATAATATACGACTAATATTAATATAGCTTTTAAACCTTGCAATCTCACCATGCAAGGAAACTAGATTTAAGTCAAAACAACAAATATTCCCAATATTATATACTGTATATCATTACAAAAATAGTGAAACGATCATCTGCTTCATTTTTGTAAAAGTCCAACGTATAATCTACGTAAACGTCACCTCAGCCAACATTGTTCCGACGTAATTCTACCGAATGTTTTACAAATACGGAAAATTAAAAGATATCAACTGCTGCCAATACAAATAATGTGACATCGCTTGTGAGTCAATTACAACAGATATTATCCAAATAAATAGACAACCCAACGCATTTAATAAAGAATTCATAAACCAAAAGAATATATAAATCCATTTTAGATGTAAATTATACTCGATCGTCCTCTCTGTGTTATTACAACAATGAGATCATATAGTAATAATAATAATAATAATAAACCCAATTATAAAGATTTAGTCAATTACTATATATTAAGTTTATTAGCTCTTCCTTTCTTAAAATAATTGTTTTTCTTTCCAATTTTTTATTTTCTCATTCAATCCTTCAATCTGTCTTTGTTACTTCCGTTCTCTAAATCATTGCTATATTCCTCAAAAGTGAGAATTAGAATAAATAACTGCTTCTCCCAAAATATTCAACCGACTCGTAATTTACAACACAGGACACTTCTAGTTGACATAAAAAGAACGATCAACCGTAAATCCCTGATAAACCAACAACAAATCAAACCCATGAAAAAAAGCGACCGCATTGTGTACGTGTAAGACCGGATGTGCACCTATTGGTGTCAACATATTTTCTCATAGCTACCGTAATAAATTGCTTTTAAACTTTACATTAAATCGATCACTATGCTAATAAGTGTGATTGTGTAGAAATAACAAGATACCCACCTGTTCGTTTTAGGAAACTTTTTTACTCACGTAGTTTGGAAAATAAAGTATCTTTATTGATATTTTAAGGCAAAAAGTTATCAGGAGGTAAAATCGATATTATGACACGGAAAGTTTGTAAATTAACAAAAAATGTCGGATGAATTATAATTAGCTCTACCAATATTTATGAAGTTCTTATTTTGATTTGGACATTATGACGCGACGATATAACGAATAAATACCAAACCAATTATCCGGATATCAAGAAAAGTAGCTTCTTTTCTGTCATTTTGTAATTTCGACATGAGTCACCAAGCCACTACCCAGTCGCTCCATCTCGGCGAGTATCGCATGCTGATTAAGAACAACATTCTTTGAAGCGATCTCCTGGGCGTTAAAAAAAAAAGTATTTATCGGATGCCTCTCTGGATCATCTTAATCTTAGGAATCCTCATAAAATACTTACATTGCTTGTGTACTCTTCCGGCATCGTAGAAAATTCAAGAGTCGCTCTCCACCGTCGAGGACTCAATTCAGTCGGTTTCCACAAGACGCCAATCATTGTACCTCCATACCGATCATAGAAGAACAACGCTGTATTTGAATAGAGTTTCTAGAGAAAACCATATGTTATTCTTACAATATGCTCCATTGAATTGGAGAATCATGTAATCAAAATCAACAAATACCGTACCAGTAAATCGTTTATATAAACATCAACTGGATCAAGTCCGACAATGACCGGTAAGGAACGCTGCGCTAAATGATCATTGGCAAAATACTTTGGACTTGGGTTGAGGTTTTCATAGTATCTTGTGCATTTTGACGGGTCGACATGTATTATGGCGTCGTATACATTTAGTGGAGTAACGAAGAGACGCTATAAATATGAGTTAGAATAATATAAATAACTGTGACGGTATAATTAATTCTTCATTTATGCACTCCTTTACTACATCCCCACATCGTCAAAGTCGTATTGTATCCTACCTTCCACTCGTTCTCTGCAGTGTCGATATGATTCAACGCACAAGAAGCTAAAGCCTGAATTCTCGCAACCACCACTCTCTCTGGTGTATCCCATCCCCACGAGTGGTCTTCTTTATTATTACCGGACACCACATACATTGCAGCATGTCTTATCTGTTCATCCGACTTGCGCATTCTTTTGAACTCGGCTCTAATCTCACTCATCCTTGTTGATGTCATATCGCCAGGAATGTCCACAATTAACGGTTCGTTCTTCCAGTCAAAGTGAGATAACAAATACAATACGCGAAGGAAACCTGTGATTCCGCTTGCAGGAATGGCGAACGGAGATGGATTTAAGTAGATGTAGGCACATAGTAGTTCTATCAGTTCCTCCTCAATGTGGGGGGAGAGTAAATGAGCACTGAACCAGCGTTTGGTTATGCGAATGGTGAGAGAGAGGGATGTGTATTTATTACAAAGTGTGTGAATATGTGATGTATGCATGGGTATGCCGACGAATAGTCGTCGGTACTTTTTTAGGGCTTTTGTATATTCGTCCTTCTTTGTCTGAGTGGATCTCTTATCCTTAATACCTCGTTCAAGCAAAGTCTTATCTCTCTCCAAATAAATCCTACATCTAAATCCATATCCGCTCTGACTTATTACATCCATAAAGTCATTTGCTTCAATGCTATCCTTCCCATTGGTCACAACCACGGTGTTCAACCCATTCTCACACAACTTCTCAGCTATTCGAATATAAAATGCTACCTTCATCTTCTGAATAGCAACCAAATCATCTGGCCACTTTGCCGAGCCCTCAAGGTGTAGTCTTACTTCAATTGGTTCGATGTATGAAAAGGCGGCATGAGATGAGAATATATAAGGACGAGGGATGAATACCGAAGAATATCTTAGAGCAGAATGAGCAGAAGATATAGATTCAATTTGGAGGGGTATATTATCGATGGAGGTCACTAGCTTGGAAAATTCTTGATATTCATGCATCACGGTTTGGAAGCCTTGGTCGTTTGTTGTTGGATTGTAGATGCGTTTGGGAACTATTGGAGATGGCCGTATGAATTCATCCAAATTTCCCGCCCAGTAATATACTCCATTGTATTCGCCAATGCGAAAATGCAAGTTCAATAAATGCAACACCATCTGTCTAACGATCAGTGCTTTCTCTTCCATGCTCTTCGCTTCCCATACAACACTCTCCACTATGCTTCCATCTTTAAATCGGCGCGTTTCGGCTTTACGTCCCCATAACTTTTGAAAATTCTCTGCTGCCACCTCATCATTTGATGGCGGTCCTTTATCAACCAAACGAGTGGACTGTTCATGGTTGAGTAAAATACACAGATATAGAGATGCATCTGTTGCGAGTGATGGTGGAGAAGAAGACACCGGCCATGGTGGTAAGTTGTTGTGAGTAGTGGTTATTAGAGTGACACGATCTGTTAAAGCCTTTGATAAGAGCACGGGAAGTATCCGTGCAAAATGAAGAAAGTTGTCCGGATACTCTAATTTGGACGAGTCGTTGTAGAGTGGATATGTGGAGGGAATGTGAGTGATTCTGAAAGTGAAAGTGATAGTTACACGACATGACGGATTGAATTACGCAAATATAATTAGATCGCGAAGTTGTTGGAACCAAATCAAGTAACAACCATCCAATACTAATCATCTTGTTTGACAAGCCTAAAAATACTCACTTGGCAATGTTGTCATATCTGAATTTAAGGTCGTCTACTCTCCGCAAGAATAGAGCTTCAAATCGATCCTCGTTTACTTCATTGAAATAGCTCATTCCAAGTCTCGCTTCATGTTGAACCTATTAGACCACTCAATTATTCACAGTCATACAATTAAAGTAATGTTACTGGGGCCCATCTGCTACAAACCTGATCGAGCGCATGCTTTGGAATTAGCCCAAACAAATTCAACCGTCCAGAGGCGTCTACAAAGACTACATCAAAGTTTTCGGTAAAAACCTCTTGAGAAAACTATGAAAGTCAAAACGATAAAATAATTGAATAATTTCGTAAAGTAAGACAACTCTACTTAAAGACCGATTTTAGATACCTCCCCAACAGCCTCATTTTTTTTTATAAACAAAGGCTTCTTTTTAAAATCGTGGTTTGCTACAGGAAAAATACTGCTTAATATCAATACTCAGGGTCTTGTCCGTGATCGTTTCTAAATTTTTACTACTACATTCGGCAGTTTTAAAAACTACGTTGCATCCAACGTTTATTCTTCCATACTCACCTAGGAAGTCCATTACACCCCTGACCAGCTGATATGAACTAAACCCTTTCGACAACTTTTTCCCTCCGTTTATTCCACCAGATTCCAATAAATATCCCAGCAACATACTCCATATAAACCCGTTAAACTGTTCAAATCCACGTTGATATAACCACAACTTTCCTATTACGCAGGCGTCTTTAAATGCGGGACATAATTTGTTGTGTTCGTGGAGAAAAGTAAAGTTGGATATTATATGGGCGTCTCGAAGGATTAGCGTATTATACTGGGACGTTGCAGGAAGAGAAGACAAATTTGAGAGTTCAGATTTAGTGGTAGTTGAGGAGTCGCCATTGGTCAGAGATTGAAGAGGAGTTGACGTGGAATGCAAGCGGACGTTGTTGCGAGACGGAGACAGCCGCTTTATCGGGAAGAGATCGGGGGGAATGCAAGGAAAAATTCTGATGTCACAGTTCAGTGTTGAAAAATCTGTCACAGATACGCAATAAAGGATATACATAAAAAAAAAGTGAACAAAACGCCTCCATACAAGCATGGTCTTCCGGTTGGTATAATATGAATTCATCCATCTGTAGCAAATATAAAAGAAAAAGAAAATAGAATGCTTACCCCCCGACGGATCCAATACCAAAATGGTCTGCCGAAGATCTCCATTCACGCATTTAAATCTGACACTAAACTTTGTCTTTGCATTTTTTCCTCCCAATAAATTAGCAAGGACGGCAAGATAGTATGCGCGCTTGTAGAAATATCTGTAATTCATATAATCTTTTTCCTGAAATATAGACTAGCAGAACGTTGAAATGACGGTCAAAGAGAAGAGCATATAAGTGAATCGAAACTTAAGATAAACCCGACTCTCAGTGAGCGTAACTAGGATTGTTCCACGCCCACGGCCTCGTCAACCTTATTACAAAACAACACCAAAAACTCCTGCGTATACTTACTCTCGGCATAACTACTCCGACGTCAACACTGAATCCTTCCCTCTTTCTAATTACTGTCCTCAAGGGATAACTCCCGATCAAATGGACCGCTGTCGGCTTCTCAAACCCAAACATATATTTCACATCTTTCTCCTCTGGTGCAGGAATCGGAAAGGGAATCTTAATGTTTTGTTTCAAGAGACGTGTTTTTATTTCACTTAATGATTGAGGCGGGATAGGCGGGAGTGAATCAAGCGCCGATTTAAGGGAATGAAGAGCTGATTCGAGGTGTTTGTGTTTTGTATAATCGAGTCGGATTTCAGAGAGAAGTTCATCAAGCTAGAGACAAAAAGTTTTTTGTAAAAAAAAAATACGTATTACCGAATATCGATAATTACTTGCATTAAAAAATCAACACAATTGATTATTGCATAGGAGGGCTATTGACTATGTTGTGAAAATTTTAATAGTATAATTTATACCTGTAATCTAAATATATTTGATTTAAACAAGTCAGTGGTCTCCTTCAACCCTTGTATCTCCTCGTTTGTTGGTGCTTTGTACAAAGGATTTTTCTTCTTTTTTATGATTACAGATCTTGCTCCTTCGGGTTTATGATCACCATTCTCTTCCTCCTCTTCATCAACGGACATATACTCGTCCTCTTCCGACCGGTCTTTCTCGTCTTGACTAATAGATTGCTCCGATGTATCTGATTCTTCAATGTAATCCCTAGATGAATCAGAATCTTCTTCAGACGAGGGTAGGTCGGTTTTTGCCTTGTGTATTTTAGGAATGTAAAGGTTTGATTTGTAGTAACCGAAATCGAGGCTGATGAATAATCAGAAAATCGAAAAGTAATAGTACCATTTTTTTGGGCTGCCATAAGGCGGACGTGTTTTTTCGTTTTATTTGCGGCATTTTTAGTAAAAACAAATTAATTGAATGTTCGAAAACTGATCTTTTTAAAAATTTTCTGCGCACGTGATAACGCGAAAATCAGTTTAATTTCCGAATTTACACAAACTGCGAATATTATTTATTATCATAAAGCACAAGAACGTCGAATAAAAAAACAACTTTATAGTCCTTCGTCAATGTCTGACTCAGGTAAGTCTGAGGGTTAATTGGATTGAATTTGAATTCTAATTCGAATTGAATATAATAATAACTGAAAGATCTTTCCGCAGAGAGCGATAATGCTGACATACCCGTCCCCGCGATTCCAGTGAAAAAGGCATGGGACGACGAGGACGTTGACGAGGACCAGATCAAAGTAAGTGGTTGTTAGTAGCAATCGATTCACACTTCTGTTTAGTAATTAAATCTATTGTTAAATAGGATTCGTGGGAGGAGTCAGAAGAGGAGGAGAATAAAGTTGAGCAGAAAGAAGCCCCACCTAAAAAGAAGAAAGTTCCCCTTGCTCAGAAGATTGCCGAAAGAGAGGCGAGACAGCGAGAAGAAGCGGAAGCTAAATTAGCAAAGCTTGTATGTTGAAGCATGAAATGCTCTCGAATAATATCAAGGTGTTTGTGCACTTTGCAGTTTGGCTGATATTTACAATTGTTTTATGGCCAGAAACTCCTCCAAGAAGAAGAGGATGAAGATCCGATTAAAAGAAAAGAACGTCTTCGCGAATTGGAAATAAAGTCCGATATGGAGAACGTGAAAGCAATGCTTGGTGATGCTATCAACAGTGAGTATTGTAGGGCGTGCACAATTTAACACAAATACGCTTTTGCATTATCATTCATATGAGGCGTATTGTTTATTCCAACAGTTGGAGTAGATTCACAGTCCAAATTAGATAGCATAAATCCGCGTACGAAAGAAGAGTTTGATGAATTTAGCAAATTGCTCGTTGAGAGAATAAGAAAACATGAGGTTTGTAAGGGTATTTCATATAATGAGAATTTGGATTGATACAATCTGATGTTAATGTTTATATCGCAGGTTACCAAATTAACGCCTATATTATAAATATTTCTGTTACGACTTTTAAACAGTCGAAATCATCTTATCCAACATTTATTCATAACTTCGTTCGTGAACTATGCCTTCCATTAAAAGACGGAGATGTGAAGAAAATCTCAACCACTTTAAACACATTGGCAAACGAGAAAATCAGAGCTGCTAGAGAAAAGGATAAACCACAAAGGAAGAAAGGTAAGTTATTCGACGCTTGTTTTATCTCTTTCCTGCCCGATATTTCGCATTTTGTTCATTAATAATTTTGATGATTTATCCCTAATTAACAGGCAAGATCAAGCCTACGCTTGCATCAGGAGGAAAAGATGATGTTATTGATACAACAAACTATTCCAAGTTTGATGATGACGACTTTGATAGTTTTATGTAGAAGACATTGTTGGTAGACTTTCGTAATTGTTCATTTTTAAATATATTTGCTTATTACATATAATACTTATCTAATTGGAAGAATGGGCGATCGCGAGAATGGAGACATGATGATTTGCGGTTCTTGCTGCTGTTGTTCTATGGCAACCGAGAGATGATATGTTGCTGGCTTCATTCTATCTTAAGATTAATCGAGCAAAGACTAACTTTCAAATTCAGTCAACTACCATGTCACGTTACAATTAAAATTATTCGTAAATCAATTTAATTGGTTGATTTACGATGTCTAGTTCACAGTATGAAGGTCTTTTGTTATCAAAATAACTTATTATAGATTCTACCTCAAACTCCTTATTATTAAATTATTCACGTGACCCAATAGCCTTTCGCCAGGCTTTCTTTAGGATATCCAATCCTTCCAAATCCTCCATTGTAAATCCTTTACGTTTTACTAGACCGTGATTAACTGTAACAATGACGCAAAGGTCGTGATTTCTCCATCTGCCAAAGTCACGGGCCCACTAATTATACATTTATAAAAAATCAATGAATAAGATGATGACGGATAATAGACAAAGCTCAGAAGATGAAGATTGGATATAATAATGCTTACCCAGAGATCGAGTCCACCAGATCCCCTATAAAACGTGATAACGAAAGATATGTTATTACGACCGCTATTGATAATTACAATGTAACCAAACACGTTCAGCTCTCCATTCTCGTACCATTTTTGAAACTGTCCATCAGTAATTTTTGCCTCCCTATCAGTTTGTATATTCTTAATTTGCGTCAACGGAATAGCCTTTTCCCCTCCGCCCGGCATGTAATAGTGAAATATATATAAATAAGTATTCGATACAGCCATATATTTATCTCTATATATGACAGGCTCTTCATCGCGAAGCATTAGTTTCCGTCGGGTTCTGCTTTGTGAAGAATCATCCGTGGTGTCGGGTGGGATATCATCCGCCCAGTCGGGTTTGAGTGTTGTAGGTAAATCGGAGAAGGATGTTGAAGATGCGGTGGCAGTTGGCGTCACTTGTTCATGGTCATCTTCAGGCGACTTTGTGTCTTCTCTCTTGCTCTTACTTTCTTCATCTTTTTCCTCGTGGTCGACTTTTTCAGTCTCTCCTCTTCCTTCGCCCTTGTGCTCTGTGTCATCCAATTCACTGTTACCTTTTTCAATTTCTTCGGGTTCTGCAGTGATGTCGTTGGGATTACTGTCGTCCTTCAAATCAAAGGCGACTTTATCTCGTGGTGTGCCGGGAGGTGTAGCAGTGGAGAATGATCCAGTAGAACCTGAATCATTGCGTCTTCTGCCGAGACGGAAGGGCATTTGATATAGTTATGAATTGAACAGTATTGGAAGTACAGCAAATGCTGCAATACAGTTGCTGCAACAAAACCGTACAAAGTGAACATTTTATTTTGTGACATAAATGAGAGGTTGATGTGGCTGAAGTTAACTAATTTGGCTAATAACACTTCAATTATCACTTATTATTATACACAAATTAAATTTTAAATTAATATCACGCCAGAATGTGACTAACATTAAAGTTGGCTGAGATGAAGTAACATAGTTAATATGGGATTATACGTATCTATAAAAAAAATATATAACGAAACTGATTTGCATCATATCCACCATGGAACCAAAGAATTACAGTACCATTTGAAGTATTTTAAAAAAAGAACAAGTGCCTCTTATTATTATAAATGATACCAAAATTCTCCAGGATATCTAGACAAAGAAAAAATAACTTATGAATTTGTCAGGAAGAACGAAAAATAATAAACAATAAACGAAATTTAACATAAAAGTTGCCTCCACTGATTGAGTGACCTATCACCGAAAGATCATTTTTTATAGTCGTCGGATTGTTGTTGATAAAACTGCTTGAGCGCATCCGCTGAGTTTCAATTCGCATTTCGCTACTTTGATACGATTGTCAAAATTGCACAACAAAATTCAATTTTTGTAAGCACGATTTTTAATATCTTTATGATATAATGTGATTGGATATGTTACCTCAGTTCTGGACTGAGACAACTGGGTTCTGGACCGTACCCAGTATCCGTGTGTCATTCATTTGCTTAATTTTCAGTGATGAGATGCGGTTACGCAACGCATTATTATTCCGTTGTTTGCAGTGATTCATCGAGATTATTCAGCGCGTTGTCATATTTCTTAAGAACGCATCGGACACCTCTCTTCGCAACGTAAGTGGTGTGTGTCTGATCGTAACTACCGATTTGCTTATGACGTAAATAAATGTAAGAATATTCGATTGTAGCGAACAGCCTACGCGTAAGCAAGCGCATAATAATAAATGTCAAATAAATACAAGAATATTACATACTGGCGAACAGCCTATGCGTAAGCAAGCGCATAACAATTGACACTTACGAATCCGTGGGTATATATTATAACTTATATACTTATACACACTCGCATGACACACACTGACAAATGGCCTCGTCCTAACCGCGGAAAACCACTTTGAGAAGAGTACCCTATCATCGTGCAGTTTATATAGTGAAACGTTAACACGAAACGCTGATTGGTTGCATTAAAACTTTTATTACGTAATAATTTAGGCACGAATTTCATTAATATTAATATTAACGAAAAGTTTGCCCATGTTTAACTTTCATACATTGGGTTTATAGAACATGGTTAATAATAATAATATTGATTTCAATCCACTAGGTTGAGCCAAATTTGTCTTTGTCAAGGCCCATCAACAATCGTTGATCTATTATTATTATTATTATTATTATTATTATTATTATTATTATTGTCCTCCAGTGAGCCACGCAAGGTTTTCGTTTCGGGAAATCGAAATGTACACAGAGATCCAAAGATTTTAACTGGCAACAAAACCTCACAGCCAACTTACTGGGGTAGTTGTTTTATACCTTTAAAAGTCCCTCGCGATAGTAGTTGTTTTATACGGTACTATTTTACCCAACCAAGAAAGTCTATAAAACTACCATAAAAATGAATAAGACGCGTTTACATTTTCGTGTGACCCGAACAATTTTCTTTGCCACGCACAGAGAAAAACTTGGTCGTCCTATTGCTATGCTATGACAACGCTCTACTGATTCAGCCATCAAATGATCCTAAATACGAGCCCATTTTCGAAAATTGTCGTACTTTCTTCATAGAATTGATGAATTGTTTGACATAAATCCATGACCGATTATGGGTTTCTTATCAGGAGCTGGCAACAGCGGCGAAGAACCTGGACGAGGCGAATGCGGCGTTAAAGGAGTTTCGGGACTCGAAGTATAGAGGAGGAAAGCTGGCTGAGTTGAGAGCAAAGGAGCTGGAGGCGGACCTTAGTGAAATGGAGAAAGCAGCGCTGACAAGGCTGGCGAATGACGATCCACTTTGAATTTTACTAGTGGAACTGTTGAAGCTCGACGCACTCGCATTGCACTACAGCCCACACAGTACGTCTCTGGTACCGCGCTATTATATGAAGGAGGCGGGATATGGAGTAGAAGACAATTAAATTTTAAAAGGGGGGCTCAAGTATATTAGAGTTATAGTTTCTGCTTTTTGTGACCGAGCGGGAGTGGGAAAATAAAAATATTTGATGTACAAATATATCAAAGACATTTAACTCTCTAAATTGGGAGCGCAATACAACCCGCAGAATTCGATATACAAATTCGTCACGATTCTGATAAACGAAAGAACGAAAAAAGCAAAAATTGGCTCAAAAGTATCCATCATTGGCGAATTAGACGTGACATAACAACAAGCTCTATCTAGAGCTTCATAACTTTGACTTTCTTACGTCCGTACTTAGGAATGCAACCGAACCGATGACTCCGTTAACCCAACCCCTTCCACTTGCAACACCAAGACATTGATTCCGTGTCTACATTAGAAAGCGATCGAGATTCGCTAAATCTATTAAACAGGAAAAACCCTCAGAAAAGGCAATAACGTTCGAGTAAATCAAACAATATTGCAAGTTATACTGTACAAATGTTTGAAACCAACAAGGGACGAAGTCCTCACATAAATTCTGATCTAGTTTTACATTAATAGCGCTGAATATTATCCACGCTGACTTACATAAATGGGATGAAAAAACTAGACGCCCTTTATTTCAACGAACAATTGAAATCTATCTTCAGGATATTGTTGCGTCTCTTATAAATGTTCACTAATACTGCATAATCGTTTTCGATCAAAGTTCTCACTATTTATTAATAACGTTTTTTCCATATATTACAAGCAGACTAACCGCAATGATTAATTAATTATTTTTAACTGATAATTAGCACAATGTCAATAACAAAGTGCTATTAATGTCCATTAGCAAGTCTTATTCATTAATAACGTACTCCATCACCATCAACTAATATCTTCAAACACGTAACCAAATAGTCATTCCCATTCCCCCCCCCCCCCCAACACCAGTTCCAAGGCTATCATTTCTTTGCATAGTAATGTTTCTTAAAGAACGCATGATGTTCGGGTTTATCCTTCTTATCCTTCTTGTCTTTTATCTTCTTTGACCCTGTCTGTCTGACATATTCCCTATAGGCCATATGATCCGCACCAGATAAACTCCTCATACTTCCGACGCTCCTCTTAACCCTATTTCCAAATGGAGGGAGTTTCGAGAAATTCCTCGAAGTTGTCGTTCCAGGAAGATCATCAACATTAGACTCGACGTCGTTATCAATCTCTGCTGCATTCTCGTTAGCGATCAAAACAGTGTTCAACAATTCCAACTGTTCTTCTTTTGATTTATAAGCCAAATCCGCCTTGTCAATTCCTTCGAGATTAGTGATGACTTTGAACGCATAGCCTTGATCAATGAGAAATTGCTGTCGCTTAGTAGAGTAATACATCTCTTGAGTATCCGTGGAAACGAGAGAGTAGAAGAACGCATTAAATCCTTCATCGTTACGACGTTTGGCACGGAGAATACGTCCAAGGCGCTGTGCCTCCTGTCGACGTGAGCCGTAATGGGAGGATATCTGGATTAAGCAGGTTGCTTCTGGAAGGTCTATTGACGTATCACCAACCTGCAAATGAAAAGAAATGTTAGAAGTTCATAAATGAATTATCCATCGAATAAACGATCGAATGGATATGAAACCAGGGAATATATCGTATCACCCAAATCACAAATTCACTGTCTGCAAGTTACCTTCGAGAGGAATATTGTATTAACAGCGGGATTGTGCTGGAAATTCTGTAAGATACGCATCCGCTCTTGCGATGCTGTCTTACCATGAATAAACGGAACTCCCATTTTAATTGCATATTGCTGAATGAAAATATAATCGCGAATATTAGTAGTGACAAATAATCGAGTATGCGACGATTGTGAATTCGAACCGCCTGATTGTTTTTACCGTTACTCTCTTCCCAGTGTTAATAATAATTATTCACACATTCTAATTCTTGGACAATATTATTTATTTCAGAAATCCCCTTACTCACCTCTAGCGCATACACGTTATCACTGAACACTATAATCTTGTCTCCTCTTTCTTCATGATACCTAATTAAATATTGGCACACTTGGAATTTTCTTGGATTCATCACATATAACAGCAACTGCTTCCGCGACGCTTCTCTGAGGTATTCTCTATAGAACTCTGGTGTCATCGGACACCATACCTCAGCACACTGTACGTTTGCAATATGGCCTTTTGAGGCCAGGTCCATCCAGTTGGCTTCATATAACTTTGGCCCAATTAGAAAATTTAAATCCGAAATTTTATCATCTTCCCGGACTAGTGTTGCAGTCAGTCCGAGTTTAGTATGCGCGGCAATCGTGGTGACAACACGTCTAAACATTGCTGCAGGAACAACATGTACTTCATCGAGTAGAATAAATCCCCATTCGCGACCTTTAATAAAGTCCATCATTTTCGTGGCTTCATAAGAGCGGTTACGTGTATTTGCTACCATGCTATAAGTAGAGATTACTATTCCTGACTGGCCCATGAACTAGAAAGAGTTACACAAAATGAGACAGTAGAAATAAAAAGAAGAAAGAGTTTGAGACATATATGTCCGGGAGATAAAAAAAATGACGCGATGATTACATAAACATAATGATTCTTTCGTAAGGATAGCATCCCGCTGGTACTATCAGTCCCACGAATGTACATCTCTTCTCTCTTTTTATTCATTCTAATATACATTGTTACTCACCTTCTCTTTCTGATCGCTCGTAAATACAGCAATCTGATTCTCCCTAATATTCGACCACTGCAAAAATTGCTGTTTCCATTGCATGACTGACACTGCAGAAGTGCACAGCACAAGACAACTTTTTTTTATTGTGCATGCAGCAGTGATGCCCACTAGCGTTTTTCCAGCTCCGCATGGAAGAACTATGATGCCTGATCTCGCACGGCTTGAACGGGTTAATGGTTTAGTTCACAATAAATAGGAAGTTAAAAAAAAAAAAAGTTAAAAATGTAGATGTCAGTTGATTGTAAGCGAAATATCCAAATTCATCTTCCAGTATCACTAAAGCCTGTAATTCTTCCGTTATAATCGTGTAATCATCTATTTTTCGACTTCTATCTAGATTATGTAATTTTCCCACTTGTAAAATCATGGTTTGTCATCGAACTCATCCTAAATTGTCTTATTTTTTCCATAAGCTAGTATATCGGCACATTTCGAATTGTATTACTGTTTTTCAAAACATAACTCACCCATTACCAAACATCTTGCTCAAACACTTTTCTTGATATGGTCTAATAACTGTGATCGGCCTCAAATCAATATCGAGTGAAGCAAGTGTAGTGTCATTTCTAAAATCATACTCTTCCAGCATAGGATAATCCAATTCATTGCATCGCTTCTTTACTTTTTCAAATTGTGCAGCATCGATCTCGAATGAGTGCACTTCGTCAACATCCTCGTCTTCCTCATCCTCCTTGTCTATTTCTACAACAGTGTTGAACAAACCTTCATCATCATTATTTTCGGCGGATACATCAGATGGAAGGGCATTTTTGTCTACGGTGTCAATATCCATTGAATCTGAAGATTTTAACGAATCCTCTATTCTCTTTCCAGGAATGACAAGATCTTTAGCAGTAGGCGCTTTGTTCTTCATTAAAAAATATTTATCTTGCGAATCATCATTTATTATCCTTGCAGCTGCGATAGTGTCGTCTTGTAACAATTTTTGAAGTGTTTCTGGATGCGATGATTCTACAAAATACCTATTATGCTTCAATACCAGCTTCACTTTACCATATGAAAATGTACATTGTCTAATAAGATCAACGATCTGTTCTGGAATTTGTATCTTTGACAGTCTATTCAATACTTCAATAATGTCCTCTGTTTCTAATCCAACAGACACTGCGGCATAGAGTGAGTATGGAGTGAGTTTGTACTCGTGTATATGAGAAGGCCGACTCACTGGCTCACTGATTGCTATCAGAAAGTCTTGTGCTTGCTCTGCGATTGGAGAGAAGGCTTCGAGGGTTATATTACCAGTGACTGGAGATATCCATAGGGGACGTGATTCGTGATCGGGTTTTAGTGATATGTGTGAAAAGTCTTCTGATCCGAATATAAATGATATGCCGTCTTTAGCTTTGGCCGCCGAAACTGAAGGAGTGAATAAAGTTGTTTGCAGATACGAATCAGTGCGCATATACGAGGGTATTGTGTCTTTGCTTGAAGACATGCTGAGTATTGCAAAGGTCATCAAAATTTGTAGCGGATTATAAATCATCATTTCAGGTGACATCTTTTTATTGGTAGGTAGCGCCTCAATTGATGCCCATTCTGGCAGTGGGATTATCCCAGAATGGCCGTAACATCTACAACCAATAAACGAATAGGCACATGCATGTTGTTTAACGTTTTCAAACATCTATACAAGCCAGGGTACATTTATCGTAATTCTAAGATCAAGTTAGTTGTTGTAAACGGGGATTCTCCTTTCTCCCAATATAACATACTTGCAAGTATAATATCAAATCAAAATTAATTCCCTGCTTGTTTTGATTATTAAAATGGTTTCATAAGATACATAGTAATAGGCGATCAGCAGATGAATGTTCCTCTCGTTACTGGGACACCAGGATGAATGCATGACAATATATTACTTCCATGTTCAAACCATTATCTCTCAGTGATTATTGTATTTTTGGAAGCTGCTTTTCTGACTTGAGGCCATTACTCTTCTATAAAGTTCTGACAGCATTTACAATCACTTTAGCTCTCTAAATAATCAATATTCATACCTCATATGCATGCCTTCAACAAAACCAAGTGAACGTAATGCCACGGCATATTTTCAAGAGGTTGTTAATCACAAAGTAGCATATAGCAATATACAGTTGCTAAATTAATATAATTTCAAAATAAATAAGGCCCTTATTTTGCTTTACCAAATTAAATTAATAAACAAAAAATAGGATAAAGGCAGGTGCATGCCCATGATAATGAAGTTAATGTAGATGGCATGGATGTAGGAATATACCACTTAGTTCAGATTATAGCCATCCCATTGGGAGATTATAGCACTTAAATCAGTTTAAATGGGTGTTGTTTTGATGGAATTAATACCTAAATCAGTTAAATTTCATTGCAAATTATATATAACTCCCTGGATAACCCCCACTAACATTCTCTCTATCATTACCTGATCCAAGGCTAGATACATCCCTCTTCCTACTTCGCTTAATACACAGATCAATGCCAATATAGGGCTTTATTCTCTTCTTCTGCATGTAATATAAATAGATAAAAACAGCCCAAACTGGGCTTTAGCGAGTACCTTGTTGTGAATAAAAGTTCCTTGTGATTACTTTATTATACAAATTCAATTATATTTTTTATACTTACTCCTTAAACGTTTCTCAATTAGACATTAACCTCTTATTAGTAAATATAAACGCAACTCAGTTCTAAATAAAGAAATCTGCGTGCAACACCAAAATCCTACATGCGACACGATTTCAAAGCTGATGACTGGCTGAAGATGTCGTACGGATGGTCACGTTACTGTAACTGACTTTTTATCAACTACCCCAACGCGATAGTAGTTACCGATAATAGCGTAACCGTCACGAGAAATGTCCCCTTATCCGGTAATAAATAGAAAGAAAACGAAAAACCCAACCTTTTTCTCTGCTCTATCGTGTCTGCCTTGACCCACAACGCGCTTGTTCAGGTCTGTAGCTATACATGAGAAGGATAATGGCGACCCACAGTATCCGGCACCCGTGTATGGCCTCAATGCTTAGCGAGCCCTGCGGCTGTTGTTTGGACCAAGCACAGAGGCTAGTCGTGCAATATTACTCGTGTTTAATGAATTTTGTTGTACGCCGAATGCCTTTCGGCTTGCGTCTAGTATACTGGATATAATGCTTCCTACACCCGTGTATGGCCGAGCCAAGTTACCCAATACTTGCGAGTCCTGCGGCTGATGTTTGGTATAGTTAACGGGGGATACTCTCTTTGACGTCATTCCTATTTGGGACTACCTCCTAGAGCCTACGCCCTCCCTTTCGCTACCAGAAGCATTATATCGAGCCATCATACATTGTGTGCTTGTTTTTATCTATTCTAATCTTTCGTTTTTTTTTTGTACAAGCTGCAATGTTTGACCACTTAATATTGAAATACTTGGAAGAGTCACAATATACCGACTGGAGTCTTCTTAGAGCTTTGAAGTTCATAGCGAATAACATCAAGTATACTAGCACTGACTTGCCTGAGATTGCAGATAGATTTTTATACCACATGAGGAACAAAACGACAGATTCGAACGCTAATTTCAACTCTTCATTGTAACCATCTAAACGTAACCCTTCTAAGAACTTTGACGGAAACTTTTTGCCCAATAGATCGAATTAATTTCAGTGGATATTCCCATTGATGTGCACCATTTTCTGTGGTACCACCACAAGACCAAAGGTAACCATTTATTTTACCGGTTTTTGCTAAGACACTTCCTCCACGCCTTTTAGCATACTTCTCTGCCTTAGTTAATTTTTCAGAAACCCGGGTTGTTGACTGCGTTGGTTTCCTGGGCGCAGAGCACTCTGTGAAGCAGATAATATTCTTTGAGGCGGGTATTGAATTTTCTCTGGTTTTACGTGCATGAGCTCTTCCCTCACAAATCCACGTGATGGCATATTCTCCATCTAAATAATATAAAACTGGTTCGTTTTCAGAGACAACGTCGGAGTCCACACTGAATAATCGCAGAGAAATAAATTCGGGGAAGTAGAAGATATAGTCAATCTGCTGAATATAAAAAAAAAAAAAAAAAATCTCCAGATTTAAAAAAAAGAGTCAGAGAATTATCACGACAAAAATATTTCTGTCAAATAAAAATGGCGACTCAAACTCCCACTCCCCCACCAACGCCAAGAATGGATGACCTTGTTGGCATATGTAATATAAATTATTTCTGTCAAATAATCAGAGAATTTTTAATGTATATCCCCCGGAATAATAGAGTTGCAATTGAATGGGCATTAACAAATCTCACAAATGCTTACAACCAGTCTCAAAATGAGATAATAAGACTGAGCAGCGATTTAGCACAATCGATGGAAAACGAGTTGCTAATGAAGATGCTACGGGTTGGCAGAATTGTAATGCAAACTTGCTAGTTGCATGGAATAAATGCGTTGTAAAGGCGAACAAAAAAAGCGTATTTTTTGGAGAGTAAACTGCGAAAATTTACTGATAAAATTTCAATTGTCTAAAGCCAAGCACATGAAATGGAAACATAGGTCAAAAGTTAAGCATGAAAAATATAACAAGTTGAAACTTAGAGCAAGATTAGTTCATGATGCTAATTTAGAATTGGAAGAGCAAATTAATTTTTTAAATCAGAGAATTTTAGATTTACAGAATAATAACCCGCATCAAAACAATAATCAGCATACAGGCATGGCAGGATACGCGCCTCCAAAATTTTGCGGTTTAGCTGGCGAGCAATTTTTATTGAGAACTCAAAAGATAATTCCTAATGAAAGGAGAGTATTCAAACCCGTGAGGATTAAAATTAACATTTGGCCCTCCTTTTTCTTTGCACAGCAATCGCTTGCTTAACTATTTTACCAATGAGTTTCCGGAAGATCCAGCTGTATTTATAAGAGATTTGCGACAATGGTGTGAGGCTTCTCCCAATCACAATCCAAATGCAGGGCATCAAAACTGAATTTGCATTGATGGAATGAGAATGAGATTAAGGGTTAAAATTGGGAATTACGAAATATTAGTGACAATACAGGTCTTGTGGATCAATGGGTTAGCAACAATGCATTACGTGCTATTAATGCCAACCAATTTAGAGGCGGAGTTTTCCATAAGAAATACTGTACCAGCCAACAATAATGCAATCGCCGATCCACTAGTGCCTGAGCACAGTGTGGGATGAAGACTAGTCAATTTCGGGTGGACGACCAACTGATTTAGCCCCAAATGCAATGCAAGAGGTAACACTATAGCTGCTTGAATTCGTATTGGTCAACACTTTTTACATGACTTTCCCACAGTTATTGCTGAAAAGCACTGATACTGTAGGCCGTTTTTATGCCAAGTTAAGAAGAAGGGTTAAACTCGCCTACCCAATGCTTCCAACAGTAAATCAAGACGAATTACTCAGACAGCAATTTTTCCAGGTCTTACGCCTGATAATCAAATGGAAGCTAGACGAATCGGTTTAGAAACACTTATTTCTGGTTTGATAAAGAAATTGGAAGAGATTGAGAGATATAAATAAAGCTCATCGATTAGTTGGGCCTACCCAGCCTATATATCAGACTAATCTAGGTAATCTGGGTGCTTATTCACGGTAGTACAGTCAAACCTAGTCTCGATACAGTGAATTTCGAAGAATTCCTCTGATACAAAACAGTATTATTAATTTTTCCCTCGATATTGAAGTTATATACAAATGGCTCTCGATATAAGAAACTTTCGATATAAGAAAGTATTTTTGCTGGACCCGATTTAAAATCTTATAACAAATGACTCTCGTTATAAGAGATTTTCGATATAAGAAAGGAATTTGTTGGGCCCCGATTACTTTCTTATATCGAGAGCCACTTGTAGTAAGTTTGGTCTAAGTTTTTTCTCAAACAATATTAGTAGAAGATTGTACCACTTGATGGTTTTTGACCAATCATAATACAAACACGTGTTGATTAAAAGTATGTGTGACGTCTTTCTTGTTTCTTCGGCTTTAATAAATTATAACCGAATCAAGAGTTGCTACTACTACGTTAAACAACTTAGTACCAGTACATTTCATATAAATCGTTCAGCAGTATTAGATTCGTCAGTAGAAATAACGTTTGAGTCATTTATTATTATACTGCTACAAGATTTGCAGTCGCAACATAGTGAAGATTTATGCCACTTATATATGAACTTTACTATATCGAAAATTCTCGATATAGTGAAGTTTCGATATAGTAAAGAAAAATCCCCGTCGACTTGACTATATCGAGGTTTGACTGTATACTAATACTAATACGGTGCAGTATAACGTCGTGCAAATTTATAAAAATTCGTGTTACCCGATCATTTTTGGAGGACATTATCTATATTAATATTCATATTAATTAATCACTATAAATGTTGCAGTCATACCGAGAGTTTCAGAATTGGTCATGGGACAAAGTCGATGGATCTTAAGATTAGGAGCCAATACCGTTCACATCATATCAAACCGTACTATAGCATTGCTTCGGCTGAAGGCTTCTTCTTAATCCTCATGAT